CCTACGATTCCCGAGGGGGGGGGGGGGGGGTGTGTGCTTTCTCACTACCTCCCTCCCTCTCCCGCTCCCTCTCTGCAAGTGCATTCACCCTCTAGCAAATTGAATGAAAAAGGAGTGAGAGGGAACACAGTGTGCTGAGACCATGAAAGAGGGGACTCACCCAGCCTGAGGACGCAGTCATGGCTGGGGCCTCAGGGACTTCCCACGCAGGTGGGCATGTGGTTCAGGAAACAGAAGGCAGCCAGAGACGGGAGAGAATCAGGATGCAGCGGCGTCAGTGGGTGGAACGCAGGCGGGAGCAGAGTCATGGGATCCTACGTGGGAAAGTGACCTCGAGAGAGAAGCAGTGGTGCAATGGGGACCACAAGGGTTCTCACAGGGAAGACGGAGCTCTGGGGACGTCTGGGTCAGTGTCTCTACTGGCATAAATTCTTAGGGTACAGCCCAATCTTGCTTAGACCACAAGGGGATTTCAATCAGTTTGTGTAACTGGAACTCAGTGTGGGGGGCCAGAGGCTGGCAGTGGACAGATCGGTAGAGAAGTGAAAATACCCACGGGCAGCGATGGAGGAGAGGGAGTCTCTTAAAGAAGAATCAGCCAGTGCCGTGGAGGGGCTGCTGCAGGCCAGGACCTGGGGGCCGGGGGTGCCTCTCTGAGTCAGTCCTTCCATGGCTGCTAAGGCCCATGGCATTTTTGTGATCAGCCTCTCTTTACCCTTTTCTGGAACTTTTCTGTTTCTGGCATGACACACTCTTGACTTAAAACCAGAATTGTTTCTGCTCTGCTGGGTTCCATAAATATTTTCATCCCAAATTGCTAAAAGTTGCTTCTCTACTAGTCGCAAGGTTTCAGAAAGAAACTTTTCTTCTCCTTTAAAATATAATTTTTTTTTCAAAGCACCCCGGGGCTTCCACCATGCTGAGAAATAGCAGGGTGGCTCTATCTGCTGGGTGAGGTGTTTGGGGGGCAGCCATGGCCAGTAGCTGCCCGGGGGCTTCAGTGCTCTTGGGAACCAACAGGCCTGCAGCCCTGCGTGGGAGATGGGTCCAAGGGCCCTCAGCCGACGCAGTGGGAAGGGCTCCTGGTTGGGCTTCTGTCCTGGGTCTGTCACACAAGACCCCGCCTTTGTGGAGCGTGGATGCTCGCCCGAGAGAGAAATAAGGAATGGTGGCTGCACAGGACGGCCTCTGGTGGAAACTGCGGTCAGAGCTCTTGAAGGAAATGGAAAGAATGTGAGAAGTTATAAAACTGGGGAGAGGGGATCTGATTTCGGCCTTAGGATTCAGGGAGGGCCTCTCTGAGGAAGTAACATTTCTGCCAAGGCTTCAAGATTGAGTAAGAGTGAGCCAGGCTCCGAGTGGGGAGGGGGACATTCTAGGTTGAGGGGCCATCTCACGTGACAGCTTGGTTAGGGGAGTGTGGTGCACTGGAGGGACGGAAGGGCAGCCAGTGTGGCTGGAATGACTGAGCAGTATGGCCACGTACATCGATAAAGGGTCTCTGCTCCGCGGATCAGGAAGGTGCTGGTGCAGGGTAAAGCAGGAGGCGGGCTCACGGTCTGGAGTGAGGGTTTGCGAGAGCCCCTCAGGTTGCTGCAGAGTGCTGTGGAAGGACCCCATAGAGGCGGATAAAGGTTTGGACTGTGGCGGAGGAGGAAGTCACGCGTGGGGGTGAGGAGAGGGACAGACAGGCCTGGGCTCGTGGCTGGGACAGGATGGGAAGGCAGTAGGAGAATGCCGGCGCTCTGGGAGCTCATGCAGTTGTCAGAAGCTCCCCTTGGGCCTCCGGATGTGCGGAAATCTCAGAACCAGGGCTCCCGAGGTACCTGGCCCATTTGGGAGCCTGGACAGACAGAGATGGCAGCCTGGATCCTGCAGGACCGGCTTCCTGGTGTCGCATGTAGGCTCCCCACCTCTGCTTCACACTCACCCACAGCCTCATCAATGTCTCTGCAATCTGCAATGTCTTCCCTAGGCACCGACCTAGAAAATGTTCGGGCTCAAGGGAGGCTTATGAGAGATTAGGTGGCAAGGTTTGACCAAATTTGGAGCCAAGAGAAGTTTTTTTTCCTTAGATTTTGCTATAAGAGCACGTGCACCCAGAAACGGAAAGTGAGAAATCCCCCCCAGGTGGGATAGCCATACCACAATCCCTTCTACTCCATTCTCCTCGCTGGCCTTTGGGCACACGTGCACATGCATCTGGCATGAGTTTTAAACCACCGGGTCTGGACTCAAACCGTGGTCGACCATGTGGGAGTCCAATGATATAACCATTACGCCATCTGCTGGGCCCAAAAGATTTAAGTTTATTTATTTAATGGGGGACACCCCAACAGGGTCATCACTCCAGTCCTTCCTCCCCCGACTCCACCAGCATGCACAGGGAAACCTCAGGACACAGAGCCCGGACCTCCCCACATGGTCTTAGCAGGGCACTGAGGCATGTTACCACAGTGCCGCCATGGGCAGCGTGCAAGATAGTTTTCGGATAGAGTTCAAACATTTTGTGACTCCCCCATTTCACTCCCACTGATTGTATTGCTTATCCTCACACTCATACCCATACATACTCATTATTTACCTTTGTAAAAACATTGATATCGGGGCTGGCAGGTGGCTGGGGCGCCAGACTCCCACTTGGCCGAACACAGTTTGAGTCCCGGATCCAGTGACTTGCTTTCTCATTTACCCTATCTTTCTCTGTATATATCTCTCTGGTCAAATTTTTAAATAATAATAAATTTTAAATTTTAAAAATAGTTAAAATGTTGCTATCTGGTAAGATAGGTTGAGCACAGCAGGGGTTGGAATGGATATTTGTTTTTGCTTTGAAGTCATCTTCTCTTTTTTTTTTCCAATTTGCCCCAAGGCATGTGTGCTCATTGGAGAGAGACACAGAGAAAGAGAGAGAGCATACCCCCCCAGGAGGGGGGATGGCCCACTGCAGCCCTCTCTTCTTCATCTCTCCCCCTTTCAGGATCTTGGGCATACATGCACACACACCCTGGATATTTTTCAAGCTTCCAGGTCCAGGATTTGAACAGCCATGTGGGATCCAGCCACCTTCACCACCACATCATCGGCTGGCTCCAAGTCCTCTCCCTTTGAACAGGTGTCTGTGCATTTCACGTACTTTTAGATGAGCTTGGGGGAAAGGCATCGACCACCGGCCTGTCCAGGACTGCCCCCTGGCGTGGAGGGCGGAGGGCGGTGCCTTCTCTGAAACTCTGGGTGCTTTTACTACCTGCTCCCCCACCTGCCCACCTCGTTTTCAGGTTGTGTTGTCTATGAACCGCCGAGTGGCTCTTTGGCGTCTACGTGTGGGTCCTGGTGGGCATTCTGTGACTGGGCTGCAGTACTAAGTCCGTTGGTTCCTGCCAGCCAACCACAGAGAAAGGCCTGGTGGGGTCTGGGGTTTCCTGTTGCCTCCCCGACTCTGAGACTTTGGATTCCAAAAATAAAAGCACAAGAAGCCACCGTGACTTCACGGTCCCTGCTCGCACGGTACCCTAGCCTGGGACTGCCTTCCCCGCCAGGCCAGCCCAGCCCGGGCCTTCCGGGCCGTCTCCTGTCAGAGCAGTGTGGGGTCCGAGTGGCCCAGAGGGCTCCGTGGGCCACCTGCCTGAGGCTCTTGCTCTGTCCCGGCCCTTCAGGCGGTCACCCGCAGGGCCAAGAGGGCTCCTGCCGAGAGGATGAGCAAGTTCTTGAGGCACTTCACTGTTGTCGGGGATGACTACCACACCTGGGACATCAACTACAAGAAGTGGGAGAATGAGGAGGACGAGGAGGAGGAGCCACCCGTGCCAGCCCCGGGCGAGGAGGGCAGCGCTGTGTCAGAACCCACCTCCGACTCCACGCCCAGGCCGTCCCCCGACTTCAGGAGCACATTGAGGAAGCTCTTCAGCTCCCACAGGTTTCAGGTAGGTGGGGCTGGGGGCCGAGGTGCCGGGGTGAAGGTGAGGGGGAAGAGCCCTCAGGGAAAGTCACGAGGGCAGACCCTGGCTGCCACAGGCTGGAGGGAGGGGGCACGGGGAGCAGCCGCGTAGTGAAGGTGTTCCGGGGCCAGAGGGCGACGTCTGTGCAGCCCCCAGATGTACTCAATCCCAGTGAACTTTATGCCGACTTAGGATGGTCCAAACGGTCACTTTCATGATAGGAGAATTTTACCGTACACAGACACACGCCAAGTAAATCCGGGGTGAATGGCGGGGCGGAGAAAGCGCCCACCCATTCACTCAGCGAACACCAGACACCTGCTGTCGAGCCAGCCCACTGGGCCCCGCAGAGGGTAAGGGCCTCCGTCTCTTCTGGAGGGATGCCCCAAACATCTGTCCGCTTTAACCCACTGCCGCCTCCAGGCGTGGTCACGGGGAGGACAGGGGAGGGAGGCGCCAGCTTCCAAGATGAGCAGAGGGATCCGAACTTCCTGAGGGTTCAGCATCCCCATTTAGGACACTGCTTTAAGTTTGTTTCTTCCATGAGCTCGAGGGACAGACGGCGCCCCTGAAGGTCTTCACTGTGCTCCACCTCCAGCTTCAGCTGGTCCGAGGTCACAGGCAGGCGTGCGCCCACGTGTCAGTCCCCAGATGCGAACCCGGAGCCTTCCCACAGGGTCTCCATGCAGACCACCATGCTCCACCGTGGCGCCACCATCCAGCCCTCTCAGAAGCCATTTCCGGTTTTCAAGGACAGATGCAGGTTGTGTCTGGGCGGCCACGTCTGAACCCCAGCCCCATGGTGCAAGCAGGTGGCTAAAAGCACATTCCGAGACCCAGGGACAGGAGGGAAGTGCACTCCAGGTTAGCCCCGTTCCCAAAGGAGAGTATTTTGGGGACACTGCTAAAGGCGTCCTCCTAAACCAAAATAAACCAGTTTCTTTCGAGAGCCAGTGTGCCTCTGGAAGCAGAGAGAGGCAGCCCTTGCCTCTGCTGTCGCTGGCTTTATTCCAGGAAAAAAAAGGAAAAAAGCCCAAACTTTATTTTGGCCTTTTGTTTGTCACTCGTGTGGCCTAAAGAAACAAAGCCAGCCGACAGCCAGCTCTCCTTGTGGCTCAGCTTGCTTCTCTAGGGCTGTGACAGGAAGGGAAACATGGCATTAAGTCGTTGGGGTTGAAATCCCAAACCCTCAATTTTAGGAGCAGGATGGAGCCAGCTTCCTCCCAGCTGCAGGGGGAGCCCTGGACCGCCCCCTCAGAATGTCCCCCTCGTGACAGGCCCACTGGGCCTGCCAGGGGATCAAGGCTGGCACCCGGACCTGGGACTCCCCAGAGACACTCCTTATAGGGGAAAGATGACTCGGTAAAATGTGACTGTCACTTGTTGAGCCCCTGTCGTGTAGCCCACGATGAGGGGGTGGGAGGACTGGGGATTAAGGAGGTGACATGTCACCTGAAGCTGAAAGGCTGGGCAGGAGCCCTGGGGAGGTAGAGGGAGTTTCCTAGGCACAGGGGCCCTGGGTGGGCAGGAGCCTGCATGTCAGGAATTGGAAAGGGAGCATCTCACGGTGCAGGGCAGGCAGGGAGGTCACGTGGCAGCAGAGGAGATGACGGGAAGTCCTCTGTGGGCAGGGGTCCCAGTAAATGGGTGGGATGATGATCAGGCCAGGTCCCCAGCCCAGAGACTCAGGGCGAGGGCTGGACACTGGATTGGAGTGGGGGACATGGATCAGGGTTTTGATCTCTGCAGGCAGAGTCAGTGTATAGGAAAGTCCTGAAACCCTTTTCTCCCATGGTTGGAGATGACCCAGGTGACACGGAGTGAACCGCTGTCACTTCCCAAGTAGGGCGTCTCCGGCCTTATGGAAACCGCGGCCAGGCAGTACAGTCAGGCCGAGGAAGGCCGCTCTGAGGTCACACACCACTTTCATCTCTGCGCGCCGTGGGCCAGCCCTGTGCTGGGTGCTCTTCTCACGTCTCTCACTCTGCGGTAGAAAATGTGGCCAACCCCACTTTCCTCAGGAGGACCTGAGGCCGCTGTTAACACCGAGGCTCAGCAGCAGCAGGGGACATGCTGGTTCTGGACCGAGGGGGCGCTGGGGATCTGGGAGCCGAGCCCAGGACTGTCCACATCCTGCCCTGCTCTGTGGCTAGGCGCTGTCGCCTTGACCTTGGCCATGGCGCGGATTTGGAATTGACCGGCTTCTCAGAATTCACGGCACTTTTCCTAGCGGTGTGGCTCCCCTCCGAACC